TTTAGGTGGAAACCCATTCCGCAAAATTCATCAAACTGTGATCATGTCAAAAGACAGAATAACATGAAAATTAAAACCCGTAAAATTAATCCCCTATAAGTATACTCTCCTCAGTGGACTGACTTTCTGCTCTCACAGGCAATTCCTGAAACAACTGAGATAGAGGAATCACATCGTCTATCTCGGTATCAAAGTTGTGCAAGCATTTATGTACTAAGCAGCAGTATCTGTATCCACTGCAAGGCAAATCCTATAATGGAATTCTAGTAAATCCTGGCATGTTATCAGTTATGTTATGGAACAGTACATCAGTGTTCAAGTGTTTCTTCCCTGGGCAGTGAACAATCCACATTTTATACTGGCTCAGTTCTTCTAGCCAGTGACCAAACTGGTTCTGCTGATGTTTTAAATTCATCAACCAGACCAGACCATGATGACTCTGACTGTGAACTCCTTGCCATGCAGGTAATGGTGGAATTGACAAATGAACTAAATTCTTGTCAGCAACTCTCTTTCCTGGTAGTACAGTATCAGCATTGCTCTACTGATAGCACTGCACTGCCATTACCAATTGTTCTCTCTCTTTCCTGTTCTAGATTTGCCTTTATTCCCCACCGCATGATCTGAGTGTCCAGAATAAAGTGACCATGACTGTTTGAGATTATTAATACTGGACACTTAGACATTAACTTAAAGAGTTCCTCAAAAGCATTCTGCTGCTCATCTTTCCACTGGAAACCACTTTTTCCAGTAACTGCATAAAATGTACATCAATACGAGAAAATTGGGGAATAAAACTGTGATGGTAGTAGGTGAAACCTAGAAAATGCTCAACATCTTTTACATCACATGGTACAGACCAGTCACGTCCTGCCTCAATGCACTGGTCCCCTATCTTGACTCCTTGCTAACTCACTATTCTGTCTAAGAACTCAAAATTGAATTTAAATAGCTCACAATTCCAACATTTAAATTTCAAACCATACTCTCTGAATCTCTTAAATACCTGTCATAGGTGGTCTAGGTGAGCTCCTGCTGAAGACCCCAGCAATAAGACATCACTCAGGAATGATAAGGCTATTTTCAAGTTCAGTTTACAGGTGACACTAGTTTGATTGCCCTATTGAAGGTCACAGGGGCATTGCACAGACCAAAACCCATCCTTGTAAATTCAAATAACCCATACTTACTTTGCTATAAAGGCTGTCTTTTTCAGGTCTTACAGAGCTATCTTGATCTACCAGCTCGGCAGTTTTCCACTAAGGTGTCCATACACTCCCAATGAGAAGCAAATAAACACAGCAGGGACTGCTTTCCCTATTTTGGTACTTCTAGCTGTCAGGTTCAGTAGACATAACTTAGCTCTTCATCCTGCAGCATAATAAGTCTGTGAAGCCACTGTATCAGGCAGAAAAATGCTAGCAGGCTCCAGAAAAAAATCTGGCATATATGCACATTTAATCACCTGCACAGTGTGTATAGAAACACGTACCCTATAGGCTGAACCTGCATTGAGTAGTTGCACTGATGCCTGTGTACTCATTTTAAAGGTTGTGTCTATAACCTTAATCTTGAGCGTTTGTGCTTTACACAAAACTTCAGCACCATATACATGTAGGAAATCTACCCCTAAGAGTATCATCTTGAAAGGGACCAACACATATCTGGTGTGCATAGTCATAATCCTCAATTCTCAGATAAAGACTTACGAGATACTAGCAAGTCCTTCCTGCCCCCTCACCAGCTAATCCGATACTGGTGTCTCTTACTATTTCAGCCACGGACTCAGTGACTTATAAACTTCCCATGAGATAACAGTGATGTCAGCAGATGTATCAATAATGGCACTGATTTACTGGCTCCCCTATCTCAATAGAAACAGGCCATGCACTGAAGCTAAAACCTTGGCTCCCCAACTTTTCAGAGGGAATAATATGTGGCCTTGACATTTGGCATGTCAGAAAAGGTTACTCTATGAGCAAAATTTGAGAAATGCCTCTTATGCTTGGTCTCTTCATCAGCTTTTTTAAGACAACAGCACAGCTGGGAATCCAGAGTTGCTCTTACATTCACATTTCTGTTGTATTTGTCCCAATTTGTTAGTCCTACTGGCCCTCAGGGCTGAACATTTTTGTTGAGGTCTAAACTTTGGGCTGCAGACTCTTAGAGTCTCCAGGATAACTATTTTTCTGCTCCTCTGACTTATCTTGGCAATTACAGTCCTAGAGCTTACACCAGTGAGCAAAAGGTGAGTGAGAATTTCTCCACCCTTTACTGTCCAACTCTGAGGAAACAAACCTAACAGAACGTGGATGATGAACCCACTGCTCAGTGACTTAACTGAAAAGTCTTTACTCATTTTATTGACTTTGCCAAGGTATAAGGGGGATAACTAGATTTCTGCTCATCTGACTTATCTCAGCACTCGAAGTCCAAGAGCTTACACCAGTGAGCAGAGGGAGAGCAAGAATCTCTCTGCCCTTCATGGTACAACTCTGATGAAATGGGCCTAACAGCACATGGACAATGAATCACTGCTTGGTGACTTATCTAATAAGTTTTTACTTGTTTTATTGTCTCTGCCAGACTACAAGGGGGATTGTTGATTAACTGTTGCCCCGCCTCACTATCCCTGCCCCCCCCCCCCCTCCCAAGAGCAAATCTAACAATAACCTGTTCTTGAAATATTCAGGCAAGGTTATTCCACCAAATGCCCTCTGGACAATGTCCAAGACTCTATCCCCCTTTGTTCTATTGTTTTTTTCTGGCTTCTGGGCTATCAAGCTGAATTTCACCTGCAAGGCTGCCCTTAAGGAAGTTTTCCCAAACTTCTCCTTCATCCTGAGAATGAATTCCTGGAAACTTAATGTAACTTAACAGAGCAACCCTATGATGCATGATATCAAAGTACTTAAGTGCTGCCCCCTCCAATGTCAGACTAAGTGCAAAGAGATGATTGGTCACTCAACTGATGGTATTCAGCAATTGTGGAGAATTTTGAATAGAATGGTCCCCCCTCTTCATCCCCACTGTACTTCATCAACTTGATTTCAGCTGGAATATTCCAGCTCATGCTGCTTTGCACACCAGGAGGAATTAAATTCAGAAATTGGGTATCTGCAATAGACATTTAAGTGTGACCTAGAGGTACCCCAGGCCAACCTCCTGTTTCAGGAACAAATGACTGACCCCCCCCCCCCCCCCCCCCCCCCCAGTGCTGCTGACTGCCCTATGAACTCATCATAGTAGCCAGAGCAATCACTATCCAACTTACCTGCACTAGAATATACAGATGCAGTGAGTGTGATCAAGGGCATGCCCATTACCTAAGCAAAATGACCTGGAATGGATGGGCCCATGCTGGGATCTACTGGGACTCCCCCTATAAATGTGTCCCCCTGAAAATAATGGTACTCAGCAAATCCCACACCCAAACCTCTGTAGCCTACTTAGGAAAGTGACTGACCTTGAGTTGCAGCTACAAACCTGACCTCAGAATTATGAACAGAAACAGATCCAGGATTCAATACAATACTTACAGGCTGCTCTACAGGCATGCTATGCCCTGGTACTCCCCTGGCTACTAGTCACTACAGGCTGACTGTCAGTGAACTTGGTCTTTTGCAGTTTTATAACTGAATGAGACTTGTCTGAGACCTCAACATTCCTGCAAGCATTTGAGTGATCTTGCTTAACTGAGTCCTATATTTCTTTCTTGTCTTATCTTAATTCTCTCCATGCCAGAAGGCACACAAGGCCTGAACATCCCTCTTCCACTGGGGTCAGTCTGAGGCTGCATGGCGTTTCATGTTCCAAGACTTCCAGCCTGCATCATTCCACTTCACCTCCACCATCCGCCACCATGTTGTCTTGAGGTGGCTTTGCTTCCTTCTCCCCTCAGGCGTCCATTCAAGGGCCAAAACACAGTCTTCTGTTGGATCCTTCCTCAGTACATGGCCAATCCAATTCCATCTCCTCCTACTCACCTCACCACTGATGTTTTCTACTCCTGCCATTTCCAGAACTGTCTTGTTTGGGATATGCTGCTACCATCTGACCTTAAGAATCATTCTGAGGCACTTGGTCTGAAAGATGTCAATCCTCTTTTCCTATGTCTTGGTAAGCTTTCAAGTCTCACATCCATATAACAATACGTAGAGGACCAGGCCGTCAAAGAGGGAGACTGATCTTTCTACTGATGTCTGTGGCCTTCCAGATGTTGGCTAGCCTCCTGAAGGATGCGCTGGCCAACGCTATCCTCTATCCTCTTCCTGATGTCAGCAGTACCTCTGCCATTCATGATGAGCGCCAAGGTAAGTGAAGCTGTCCACCATATTTCTTTCCATGGAACCCATATTCTTTTCAACAAATCCCATTTGAGTCATATTGGTACATAATAAGCCAATATCTCCTCACAAGACCCCTACATCTTGAACAAGGCTATCTACCCCGCCGTTAACCACATCAAAGTCACCCTGAACTTGGGAAATATTTTCTTGAATTTGATTTATTTCCTCTTGAATGTGGTCAACAACCCCCTCCAGGAAAGTATGTCATTCCTGGATCAGAGATTAAAACTGCTGGAAACCGCACTCTCTCCAGACCCATCAAAATCAGCTATCAGTACCGACATGTCTCCACCCTCAAACTGGTTAACAATATACCCCCCCCCCCCCACCAAGGCACTGGTATGCTACACATACCTGAAGCAAACATCAAGCTTAAAGAGGGCAGGACTTTCCCCGGACTGTGCCCTCTTAGCCATTTCCCCCAAAGCTGAGTGACCCAGTCCATACTAGGCCTCAAAGTCCCCCTTCCCAAACAATAGGCAATGAAATCACATCCATCTCACCCACAAAAGGGCAAAATATAAATCTACACTGGGTAATCTGCTTAACTACAAACTAAAGTATAAACGTATGCACAAAAAACAAATACTGCTATCTTACATCTCGGAAATAAATCCAAGATGGAGACAGGCATTAACAGGTGCAGGCAAAGCATTTACCCCACTGTCAAACTGAAGTACCCTGCTCGCAGCACCATAAGCATTTTACTATAATAACAATATGCAGTGACGGTGGAAACAGAGTCAAATTAACACTATGGTAAAATAATCTGCGTCTTACAATGTATAGTACAGTACATAAAAATAATGCAGCTGACAGTAACACGTCTGTCCGTCAGCAGAAGAAAAGGAGAGAGAGGAGCTGTACACTTCACAGCAGGTATATATCAATGTACCTTGTATATGTAGGTTGCAGGGCAATTCATGCCTAGCACCTAATGTTATAATTAGGAATACAACTCACCTTATGTCTAGTAACCAAACCTTTACCGAACTCTCTAGCTGTTGAGTGGTCTAGTGCTTCTGATCGGCCTTGCTTCTCTACATCCTGTCAAATGAGAGTCGAGAGGTCAAAGTGTGACCCAGTTAAGATATTATCAGAGATGTTTCAGAATATGAAACAAATCTGAAAATGAATATAAAACAAATTTGATTCTGAAATATCTTGATTTGAAAACAAAAAATAACACATAAATAATTTCCAAATAATACATTGAGAATAAGTGTATTTTTCTCTGTGGTATATCTTTATGTTACCTATACTGTAGAATTAATTATTGCATAATTTCATGACTAGCACTAGTAGCTGCTTCCAAAATAACATTTTTGGCTCTTATTTTTACATGGCTGAAATACACTTTCTCACTATTGACACAGCGCTAGCGAGCTTCATGAAATATACCTACGTGACAAATCTGCGTGATTTACACACCAATAACTCACACAAAACTTGAAAACATTTAAACAATAAAATGCTTTCTTTGGTTGTTAGTGCGGGAATTAATGTTGCAGCTGTTGCAGAAAAAATACATAACCCGCATAAGCTGGTTATGTAAATTTTTTTCTGCAATAGCTGCGATGTTAATTCCCATACACAAAAAAGACATTTTATTGTTCATATTTATATCTGTAGATATAACATTTAAAGTAGAATTAAATATGATAAATATTGTAGATGTGTATGTCATTGTATGCATAATTGAAGAGCCGTTGCTCAAGAAATCTATGCATGTGGCTTGCTTAGTGGCATTTACGGACTGATAAACAGCATTTCATAACAAATAAAGGAAATAATATTCGGTGGATGTACAAGTAAATATTCCTTAATTAAATACGTTGATTAAAATTATTCTTTTTTAAATTTAAATACACCGCAATCAGCAATTCTAATCATTTAAAATATCTTTTTCCCAGAGAATTTCATTAAAAACTATAGTTTATTCCTTTTGCTCAACATTTCATATATATACTTCTGAATGTGTTATACTAGCAGAGTAGCTTGTACTGCACCAGTGTAAGAAATGAAATGCACTTACGGCAGAAGTTGCATTCACAGTGTCATGAACGCAACTGGCGAGTGCAGGTTCATAGTGGGAGGAAACAGAGAGTAATCACCATATATGCAAATATTTAGTCATAAACCAGACAGGAATCCCTCCTTAACAGAGAATGTGGAAAGGTTGTTTTGCAAAGGTATTGAAATTTTATTAAATGAATTCGAAAGAGCAATATAAATTGATCCAGTGTAAGAGATGGAGTTCATGCCTTACCATTTCGTTACTTTTGGGTTGGTCAAAGTCTATCCTTCTCTTGGTATTCTTGCTGGCAGGTGATGCACTCTTCTTAACCTAAGGTCCTAAGGGTAGTGGGGTACAGCTGTCATCATTTCTGTAAAACAGAGCTATAAGATCAAAAAAAGATAAAAGAGGTCCCAATATTAATGTAGATGTTATGTGTGGACAAGCTTCAGAAATTGAGGTCAGTACAAAGAAGTGAGTTCATTTTTTAGTGTCTTACCCTGTCTACCATGTTTGGCTGCAGTTGATTCCCCTTTCTGGACTCTTCTTGATGAGAGATGTTCTTCTCTACAATAAGATCAAGACTTGTGTAACTTTTATTCTACTATCAAAGAGAGTCAACTGAGAGGTCAAATGAGTGCAATCGAGGTCAAATGAGTGCAATCAAGAGGTCAAATGAGTGCAATCGAGGTCAAATGAGTGCAATCAAGAGGTCAAATGAGTGTTTCCTTTGATTAAGAAGAAATGGAACACAAAATGAAAAGTTCACCTTCTTACTATTTTTTAAAATGTTGGTCCACTGGCATTGTGTATACCCTGTATCCTAATTCTCACAATTATCTGCTCTTCCTTGTTTGGTTGGCCATCCCTCCCGAGAGCCCCTGTCACAGATAGAAACTCAGACACATTGCAAGATTAGTACAGTTCAAAATAACGGACAAAAAATGACAAGAAAATTCCTATGAAAGGATTATTACAAAAAATCATATGAAGATTACATTTAAGTGAATGGATGAAAAACATTTATAAAAGGAATGTGTAATTAAAGAAACTTACACAAAATAAACGTTGAATTCATCATTTCACAATATAGGGTATTAACTGAATCAAATGAAACACTCATCAAAGTCTGCAGCTCCTGATGGACTGGATAGTCTCGTCACCTGACAAATACTAGAAAACAGTTTTTTAATCACCCCACCCCCTCCCAATCCTATATTTTAAGTGCTCTCACATGGCGCAGTGGTTAGAGTTGTGAACAATTAAGAATTTTGATTCATGACACTTTAAGTGAAATATGGGGATTTAAATTTTGACTTTAAAAGGTCATGATTGTAAATCAATTCCAACCTTTTTGCATAATTTGAAAACCGCAAGATTTCGAAGATATCTTTAGAGAACCATTGGACATAGAATAGGAGAAAACTAAATGACCTCTGACTTTCGATCAGTTAACATTAATAATATTAAATTTAAAAGGGAAAAAGGTAGATCTTTATGATGAAGATAATTAATGAAGCATATCATATGACTCATGCATTTTAATTTGAAAACAAGATGTGTTTGTGAAATACTATGCACCTGGCAGCAACAAAGTTTGAAAAAGCTACTTTTAGCATATAGGTCACAGTCAAGGTCAAAAGGTCATTGACCTTGATGTCATTTGAAAGAGCTTAATTAGTGGAGTATGCATACCAAATATGAAGTCTCTGTCTCTTATGGTTCAAAAGTTACGGTGAAGGTTCAAAAAGGCTATTTTTAGCATATAGGTCACAGTCAAGGTTGCAAAGTCATTGAACTTGGTGTCATGTGAAAGAGCTTAATTTGTGGAGTATGCATACCAAATATGAAGTCACTATCTCCTATGGTTCAAAAGTTATGACAAAGGTTCGAAAAAGCTATTTTTAGCATATAGGTCACAGTCAAGGTCACAAGGTCATTGACCTTGGTGTCATTTGAAAGAGCTTAATTAATGGAGTAAGCATACCAAATATGAAGTCTCTATCTCTCATGGTTCAAACGTTATGGCGAAGGTTAAAGTTGACAACAGACAAACAGATAAACAGACAAACAGACAGACAGGACAAAAACAATGTGCGCCCCCGATCTATCGATCTGGGCACATAAAAAAATCCTTATTTATAATCTAATCTGATGTCAGGTCTGTACGTTAACCATGATGTTGTATCGTCAAGATATATGTTTTTTCAGTCTTTCAGTCACTGTGTAAAGAGCACACTGCTGCATATAATTATATACATTACATAAACACATACAAACATAACTCAAATATTACCCACACATGAATGTACACCTGTCATACACATATACACATGCACCTATTCATAACCACACACATTATACTACATACAACAAGCATAACCCACCATATTTTTTTTTTTTGTATTTTTTTTTTTTTTTTGTATTTTTTTTTTTTTTATTTTTTTTTTATTTTATTTTTTTTTTTTTTGTATTTTTTTGTATTTTTTTTTTTTTTTTTGTTTTGTACAATGAAGACTTTTAGAAGTCTCTGACTGTGGCTTAAGCTCTACTGGTTTAATGAAGGAAGCTAGAGGAAAGTACTTTATTGGGCTTAAACTATGGCAATATCAATTTACAATATCAATAACAATTTAGTAATGATCCATGGATAAATCTCTTTATGTGGCAAGTTTTCTATCTACAAATCAATAACAATTTAGTAATGATCCATGGATAAATCTCTTTATGTGGCAAGTTTTCTTGATTATCATTTCAACACTGTCGGTCAAAATTCCAAAACGACACTGAAGCTTAATTATAAACTTGTTGCATACTTGTTTATTAAATTTAATTGAAATCAATCCAAACTTGTAGGGATTCAAATCCAAAACTGACAATGAATCTTAATCATAAATTTTGTTTTTTACAGATCAACATACAATTACATGTACATAACAGATAAACACAGACGGACTGACAACAGAACCTTACCATCACATGATCCCGATCTTTTTGTCTTTGACCAGTAGAGCTACAAGCTCATCATTAGTTAAGTGGCATAATGACCATGTACAGGACAAGAAACCACTTACTGTACATCTAGCAGGCTGAGGTGAATTGAGGCGAGGCGAGGGTTGTGGCAGACAAACATACAGACAAACATACAGAATAGTGTGTGCAGATGAGACTAACAATATACAATTTCTAAATGCAACATACAAAATAACAAAGGACACACATGATACAATGCATATACTGTATATTCTTGTATAAAAAAATTATATACCAAAATATAGAACACCAACAATAAATTCTGTCTCTTTTCTGAGTAATTACACCTAAAATGTAGATGGAATACATTCTATCAAATGTATGCAGCAGATGCAACGTCGAGACAGCATGCATGCAAGTGTGGTTTGTAAGCGATTAATGTAAGACTCCACATCAGACCGAGTGATTCAAAAGAAGCATCATCTGTACAAGTTTTGATCAGAACAATAACCTAACTGCTAAGAATAGACAGAGCCACTGAGGCAAGAAATATAGGTCAGATGCAGAAGCATCATATACAAATTTGGTTTGGTTACAGCATTCAAGGCAACGTCCATGGAAGCATCAAGTACAAATTGGTTTGGAAACCACAACAGTAGAAGCATCATGTACAAATCTAATTTGGATAACACTTGTAAAAAGCTGAGAACAAATAAGATAACCTTACAAAGTACTTAAGCATAAGATATAGTTCAAATGCAGCAGCAAGAGCATCCTCCTCTATTGTTTGATCTGAATGCAGGACAAATAATGGACAGACGTACAGCTATAGTGATTATAACTTATTATAATACAATACAATACTTACAGTGTTGAAAGATCCAGAAACTTTCATAATCAATCATTGCTTATAATTGAAGCTTTCAAATCAATATATATGACCGGTATAATCTGTATTTTAAAGAAATTATTTTTACTTTTTTGAATGTTGTGTTATGAGGAAAGTAAATGTACTAACCTATTAACAAAGAAGAATCAGATATGCGGACACGTTCCTTCAACCAAGCTACCGTTCTTGGTTTCGCGTTTCGATCATTTTAGGTATATGAACCAGGCAAACTGTACAGACATGAGAGGTTTTAAATTTTTACTGCGGAAAGCTTTAAAAATCGATTACAAAATATCAAATTGATGAGCGGAAATAGCAAGCCGTACATTGATCAAAATTGATGAGCGGAAATAGGAAACTGTACGTCGATCAACAATCAATTATCAGCAACAATTGTTTCATCTATAACATAATACATTGATATATTAATACAACAAAGCAAAGACCCCCAAAATAGTGGTATCTCAGGAAGGGGCCTAATCATAAAGGAGACCCACCATGTAATAAATCACTTAACTTTACAGCTATCTTAATCCCAACCCGGAGAAATTTTCACTATAAAAAATAAACCGGTAATAGTGCGAGAGAAAAAAATGCCCATTGAATTTTTTCATCAATTAAACTCCAATATAAAAAAAGGGGGAGAGGAAATTCAAGTAGTTAACAATTACAATATCCAGAATTTATTATATTAAATCCAATGAAATGAAATAAATAGATTCCAGTTTAAAAATAACAATTATTAAGTCTGAAATTATAACATAACTTGCAACCCCAAAGAAAAGAAAGAGAAGTCCCACCTGGTCAGATTATTTACATGTACAGGAAACCCATGAGATACACAAATATATATATAATTTCATACATTACAAAACAATATTACAGTACAATATAAATAGATTGCAAAACATAATTTAATGCAAGATACACAAACAAAATAATTTTTAACTAATTAACTTACAGAGAAGGGAAATAAATTAAGATAGAAAATAGATATACCCTAATTAACAATAAAACTCCTAAATCTAGAATGACCAAAATCTTGTTCCTATGTACTGATATACACAGGCAGGTGAAGAATCAATCTTGAGAAATTAAATTAATTAAAATTGAAACTAAAATATTTACCAATTTTAAATTCAATATGACCATAAAACTTCTTCTCTCATAAATGACAATGTCTAAATAACGGTGTGTGCTTGAGTTGAGATATTTAGACAAAGCACCCACAAGAGAAAAAAAAATTAATGCCTACAGTACTTTTAATTCACATTACTGACAATTTGAAATGAAAGGAAACAAAATGGTTCATAAATTTATGAAGTAATTCCGACCTTAATAATGAGAATTTTAGGATAATGAAATATCAGACAAATTAAATGAATTCATTAACTATCAGAAGAAAACTCAAATTATAACATACAGTCATACATTACACTATACCAGCTGGTGAAAAGAGAGGGAAATTAAGAAAAGATATCAAATTTCAAAACAATTAACCAAATATCATTAAGTTTATCATTCCCAGGACTGCCAAGATATATACATGTACTACAAAAAGAAAATATTGCATTGTACAAAATATGAATACAAAGTGTCAAAAAACTCATCATGCACACAAAGAATACAATGGAAATGGAGAGAATTTAAATAGGAAAAGCGAGCTAATTCATTAGACTAAGTAATTGGAGAGATGGATTTTAGAATTTACATAACCAATAGTTAATAATTTTTAGGAAAATTTAAGCCTAACTCTAGTTTTACCACTTGAAAAATTGAAATTAAAGAAAGAAAGAAAAAGGAAAATACTCTAGTAAGTTAAATCCTATTTTCATAAAGTTAATCAACAAGAAACTAAATTAAATCCTTTTTTCTAACTAAATCAATATGCTACTAAATTAAATTTTAAATTATTTCCTATCTATCAATTGAAATAAATCAACACTCTACTAAATTAAATCCTGTTTATCAATAAATCATTATTCTACTAAATTAAATCTTATCAACTAATTCAATACACTAATAAATTAAATCCTTTTTATCAACTAAATCAATACTCTACTAAATCAAATTCTATTTATATCAACTTTAAGTCAAGTAAAAGGGAATTAGAGAAAATGAAAGGTCAATGAAAATTAACTTAAGTTATTATAACTTATGCCTAAAGAAAAGTGTGCTTGTGTTCACTTAATTAAGCAAATAAGTTAATAGGAAAATTTAACCTTATTCTCAAATTCTTAATCTGGTTTCAGGAAAAGTCAAATTCAATCTTTATTTTAGAAGTAGAAAATTTTTAAACTTAATTAACTTCTTGCAGTTTAATTTAGTCTTACAAATATTTAAAACTTAATTTAGTTTCACCACAAGATCTTATAAAACAGTAATTATAGAATAAACTTGAGGCATTTATCAACTTTAACAAACATTAGTTACTCTCATGACTGACAACGTCTAAATAACGGTGTGTGCTTGCATTGAGATATTTAGACGCAGCATCCACGAGAAAATATAAAAAAAAAATTAACACAAATTTATAGTGACTGTCTTAAGATACTAAATTTAAAGAAAGGGGAAGAAAATTTAACCCTATTTATCAAAATATACAATTTTTTTATTATAAATTTTAAAAAAAAATTTGAATTTTATATAGCTTAAACCTTGAAAAAATTAAAATTACAGAACAGGGGAAGAAATTTAAATGCTAACTTTACTTTTACCACTTGAAAAGTTGAAATTAAAGAGAAAAAAGAAAATTAAAGGAATATACCCTAGTAATTTAAATAACATTCATCAATTAAGTCAATATGCTACTGAATTAAATCCTATTTATAAACTAAATTAATAATTTACTGAACTAAATTGTATTCATTAACTAAATCAATACTTTACCAAATTAAATCCTGTTTATCAACTAAAGCAATACTCTACTACGTTAAAATCTATTTAACCATTAAATCAATACTCTACTAAATCAAATCCTATTTATCAACAAAATTAATACTCTACTTTATTAAATTCTTTTCATCAACTTAGTCAAGAAAACTTACTTAGTTAAGAAAAGGGAAAGAGAAAATGAAACTTCAATGAAAACTAACTTAAGTTACTTATGCCTAAAATTCAAGAAAGGTGCATGCTTGTGTTGCCTAATTAAATTAGCAAGTAGGAAAATCTAACCTAATATCCTCAGGTTGTTCTTTTGATTTTAGGGAAAAAAATGTAAATTCAATCTTTATTCCAGAAGTAGAAAATTTTACAACTAAATTAACGTTTAATTTAATCCTACAAAAATTTAAACCTTATTTTAGTTTTACCCTAAAATCTTTTAAACAGAAATCAAAGAAAAGAAGAAACTTGAGGCATTTATCAACTTTATCAAACATTAGTTACTCTCATGACTGACAACGTCTAAATAACGGTGTGTGCTTGCATTGAGATATTTAGACGCAGCATCCACAAGAAAATATAGGAAAATTTTAACACAAACTTATCGTCTTCAGATACTAAATTTAAAGAAAATTAAACCCTATCC